ATGTTTTAAATAGAGCGCTTTATGACACTCATTTCATCTGGCACATATACTGCTGTAATACACTCCCAGTCAGACTCTCAAGATCGTAGAAATCACTTGATCTGTTAGGTTTGATCAATCTATCTCCGTTCCGTATAATAACACAAATGTCAAGAAGTTATACAGAGCTCGTCCCCCAGTTTCCGATGCATTTTGACGAGATCATAACACCAACTTTATTTTCAGCGGTGCATAAATTAATTACACGCATTTAATAACTAAAATATCATTATATTCCCCTCTTAATATCATAAACGTTCTACGCCAGGGAAGCACTTAATAGTGCAGGGGGCCATAACAGGCTATTATCCTTGTGTAATGCTATTAGAGAACCAATTATGCACCATTACACTTGCTTTTTTGCAGTTTATGTGATTTCATCCAATACCGTCCTGCACTTCAAAATTTCAGCTGCTACTCGGAGCCTCATTTCCAGCAGCAGAGGAGCGGCGGTGTCTGCGCGCGGCGTCCCGCGTGCGTTTTAAAAGTAATTGAAAGGGTCCCGCTGCATATCATTTACGCGAGAGTGGGAAATAAATCCTTGGACCCCTTGCTGTGAACAAAATCAAAATTTGGACCTGCGAGCGCGCAGCCAGTGGATTCTCGTATAAAGTGGACCCCTAACCCATATAATGAGCAATTACTGGTCTGACAGCCAATTTTAAATTCAAAAACAGTCATCTAGATTTTTAATATAAAAAGCAACTGTGTAAAAAAGTGTATCGTACTTGTGCCCGTGTGTTTGTGATTTGGGAATATGCATGCATCGAGCTAAAGTTACACTTTCGGAGTATGAATGCCTTGGAGGATTTTGACGCTTGCACCACGTGCGCAATCCGGTTGGCCGTGGAGAACCTATCCAAATGAGTTGAAAACGAAAATCTGGTTAATTGCAATTACGTGGGAGATTATAAAGGCGAGTGTTGTCATGCTCTAAACAGTCACAAAGACATCTGGTCACTCCCTCCTTACGCGCGCGCAAGCGGATAAACTGAAGCGCTCAGTGATTGACGGTGGGAGTGCGATTGCTCTGCCGAGGTTGAGCTGGAGACACGAGAATCGCGATTGCATAAAGACCCTCTGTTGGTACAGATGCTTTTTTAATTTATGTACTTCAAATCGGTTGCAGAAACGTATCAGTATTGTTCAAAGTTGTGTTTTTAAGACGCATGCGATTGCAGTAATAGTTGGCGAACATCTCGCTGACGCTTGGCCATTTTTTTCTTTGCAGAGTGAAATATTCCCTCCACTCGCAAAGCACAGGGAAACATGTTTTACTTTCACTGTCCACCACAGTTAGAAGGAGAGTGCTGCAGGACTAACACATGTAAGTATGTTTCATTTCTTTTGCAAGAATGGAGTTTTACCTAAAATGTTAACTTTGTACTTTTATACGTATTTCGAAAACAGAAAAAATATTAAAACGCGTTCTGTGGCAGTTTTATAGTTCTATAATTTATCTTCATATTGTGCATTATATTTCGCAATCAAAGTTACTTAATAATTAGCCTATGTTTGGGTTTGTTTTATGGTGTTTAATGTTTTGCCACATGGCAACGTGATCGAGAGGCTTGACAGCCGCCCAGCTGAGACTTTTTGTTGCAGTCTGTCTGAGAACAGATGTTAGATGTCATGCCTTTCAACTGGCATTTTGTTGGTCACGGTTTCTCATTGTGTAAAGTGATAATTCGGGTCTCTAGCAGATGAATACAATGAATCAACTGTTCCCTGTGAATTAGTCCATCACGATTAAGTGAGAGGCAACCGATGGGAATCATATTTTCCGTCTCATTTAGGGCTATAAGAAAATGTATATTTTTATTCCATAGAAATGTTATGTTTTTAAAGTGTCGGGTTACTGTTTTAAATAGTGAACACAAATGGGTTTGGGAATCACGCCTCTGGAGACTTTGATGACGGTTTTCTGCGCAGAAAACAACGCAGAAACAGGACGACCTTCACTTTACAACAGGTATCAAGTCAGTGAGGAGCAAGATTTCCGGCGGATACAAAATAGAACCACTGTTCTCAAACTTATTTATGTTATAATGTTTTATAAGCGTCCTGTGTGTGTGTGTGTGTGTGTGTGTGTGTGTGTGTGTGTGTAGACTAGGCATGCCGTGTACGTAAACATAGGCTACATTTATATATACTACATTTTTTTTATATATATATACTTCTGGATGTAAACTTTCTCTTTTATTTGTAAAGCAAAAACCAAGCATTTGCTTATTTAGGTTAACCATTAATAAGGTTACATGACAATAATGGAAAAAATGTAAGACATAAGGAAAGGCCGAAGAGTCCTGTTTCCTTTGAACAAATGTTTAATCAATTTAAACTGTCACCATAATTCCTTTTATTTGTAACGCATTTTTAAAAAAGTAATTGAAAAGTGTTTGAAAAAGTGTAATGACTTTTCTACCAATTCAGGCAGCAGTTAAACAATTTTAGTGCGTTTTACAGTGCACTACGCATGAACATGATTTCTTAGCAAATGCAAAAAAGATAAGACAGTTCTCTCTGATTTATAAAGCATAAATTCGTGAAATAAATGTGTAAAAATATGTTTTACAGTTGGAGGCTTTGGAGACGGTTTTTGCACAGACCCACTATCCAGACGTGTTTACAAGAGAAGAGCTGGCTATGAAAATCAACCTAACAGAGGCTCGCGTCCAGGTGAGACACTTTTCCTCAACTGTCCTGAGCCAGAGATGTAACGAATAGCCTACATCACTCAAAAAAACAAACAAAAAAAAGCGCTCCGAGCACGTTTGGTCAAAGAGAGTAAATGAAGTCACTCTGTCATTTCCGTGATGCGCTTTAATAACATCAACATAATGTGGAATATTAGATTAGGTTGATTAATCGGTCATTCATAATTTACTAGTGGTAATGTTCTACACTAATTTGCCCTCGTCTCTAAGGTATAAAAATTGCTTAGATGCACTGCCATTTCCGTGTTTCAGCAAATGGAGAGAGGATGTGGCGCTTTTCGAACAAGACAAACGTCCCGAGAACGATTTTGCTCGGTTATAAAGCGCCCGGGCACCTGAAACCTCCGAATTCATATTCTGCGGCCTTGCATAACATCCGTGGTAATATCAAGTTGGCCACATGTAATTGCATTCAGTGTGTCTGTATGTAATTTCCTGCATTCCAGATTTGCTTTTGGGTTTCCTTCTGAGCTCAGATCTAATTGTGGGAAATATAATAGTTTCCCTTTTGTTCCCCAGGGTCATCTTACTATCGCTTAAAACCAATGACTGCGACGCGATAATGGAATTCGCTGCTGTAAATTAGGGATTGTAAACAAATTATTTATCTCTAATCGGATTACCCGATTCCTATTATTAAATCTCAACATGAATCGGTGGCAGCATGCAGGGATATTAAACTTACATTATTATTAGGAAATAAATTTTCTTTTTGTTGTAGTATAGTGGGCGCCCACGTTTTTAAAGTGTCAATTGGCTTGTGCTGCATTAAGAACAAACTGCAAATTGAGATTAATGGTGCAATTATGGAGCATTCAGTGCTGGGGGATCATGACTTCTAGCTGGAAGGTGCAGGGGTGAGATAATGTTGCCACAATTACATTGTGAATATTGTTGTCCTGCCAGTAAACTGTTGTGTCATATTATGTGGTGTGTGTGTGGCGTTTTGTTTGTTCGCATCATTGTACCTTTGCACAATGCTGGCCAGGCGCTGGAGATATGGCTGCATTATGCAACCTTTCCCATTCAAATATGATTAATGCGTTAGAGAGCACAGACTTAATCGAATCTGATGTTGTCAAACAATCACTAAATAGAGAAATAAACGACTTCATCATGGTTCTCTCTCAGAAGCAGGGAGACTGTCAGTAGGAAGTCATTAAAAAATGATAATGAAAAATTGCTCAATTAAATGTTGTTATAGGCAATGACCTTCATTCAGTTAACATACAAGAACTTCGCTGCATATGATAAGCAATTGTGTTCGTGAAGTTTCAAATAAGTCACTGGCTTGTTAGATTTTGTAGCACATTTCAGAAATGAGCACTGGGTGCAAATAATAATTCTAATATTTACGCAACTGCAACTTAACAAGTGACATTTTAGAATGGGCTTCAGCAGAGGAGGTTCTCACCCAAAAAAATGTTATTCTGTCATTTATTCACCCTCATATAATTTTTTTCTTCTGTGTAGCGCAAAAGGAGATGTTTGCCAGAATTATATATTTTTCCTTCTCCACAGAATAAATCAATTCATACAGGTTTGGAATAACATGAAAGCGAATAAATGACAATAGGATTTTCATCAAACCTTTTTTTTAATCTGCTTTCTCTTTAGGTGTGGTTCCAAAACCGAAGAGCAAAGTGGAGGAAAACAGAGAGAGGAACTTCAGACCAGGAGGGAAGCAAAGAGCAAATGAATGACGGCACCCCACCTGCACGCAACCTCAACCAGTCTCCTGTTGACCACAGCAGAAATAAGAAAGAACCAATGGAACTACAGCAGAAGTGTGTAGATCATCGAATTAAATGTCCATATAGGATATATGTTTGTTTTTGTCAAGAGATGTAATGCCAAACTTTCCTTTATGCACAGTATTAACAGAGTGGTGGGTTCAGGCGGACCTTTTTTCCCATCTTGTCTGCCTGGGACTCTGCTGAACACAGCCACTTACGCACATGCCCTTTCACAAGTGGCAACTTTAAAAGGTAAGATCCAGCATCTACTCGGTGTCATCATGAAAACGTGTCAGATAGGTTTGACATTTTTGACTTTTTTACTGCAACTGATGTGGATGAAAATACAGCATATTGTTATCATATTTTATTGCCTCTGAATATATATTTAGAAACATAGACAGATTGCATTACCATATGAGACCTTATCGTAAAGTGTTAAGATAGACAGATAGATCAGAACTGGAATCTACAGTCTGTGTTGTCTATGTAATCCTGTGTTGTCAAAACGTTATGACACACTATTCTGCTCTCATTAGGAAGTCCATTGTGTTCCTGCTGTGTGCCTGACCCAATGGGCCTCTCCTTCCTGCCACCATATGGGTGCCAGAGTAACCGGACAGCCAGTGTCGCAACCCTGCGGATGAAAGCCAGGGAACATTCAGAGGCGGTGCTGCAGTCAGCCAACCTGCTGGGGGCAGGGTCTACAGCCGGGCCCGGAGCAGGTCCAGGGGTCGGGCTGGGCCAAAGCACTGTTTCTGCGGGAGGAAGCGATTCCAGTCCTAACTCTGGTACCTCTAAGATCACATCACTACGGAGAACTCCAGACAAACATCTGCACTGCCAAAAGGAGGGTCCGGATAAGAAATGAAGGAGTCTTGTTTTTTTTTTGTTTTTTTTTTCCTAATTTGAGGACACGCTTTGGACGAAGGATTTATAATCAAACATTGAATGCCTGCTGCCTCTTTTTTGAGAGCACTGACATACCCGGCACAGGACGGTGTTAAGTGCAATCCCTTGTTGTATATTTTGCGTGTATGTGTCAAACTATTAATTCAACTGTAATTTTTCCTCTCCTCGTTCACTTTTACTCATGACTCTTGCCATTGGTTTTCCCTCTTCGGGTGTATGTGGGAGCCTGGTGCTTAATTCGTTTTTTTGTGGCGGAATGACTTTTGAACATGCTGTGTGGTAAAAGAAAACTCCCTGGTTGCCAATGTGAACTTATTTAATTTTTCACAATCCAATTTGATGTTTGACTTGTGTACTGTGAAGTCAGGTGATGATAGACATTCTGCATTGTGTCAAGATATATGCCATGCTGAAATATAAATGTACTTATGTGAAATAATATATGTAAGATAATATCAAGGACAGAACTGTATATTAAGTGGTTTGCCATGTTTTATGATATGATCCGGGTAACTCTGATTCATGCTGATTTGATGGCAACTGACATCTCTCTTGTCATTGTATCTGCACGTCCATGATAGACTGCAAGAGTTCAGACACTGGTCCTGTTTTGACATGTTCTATAAAATAATTAAACATGTAGGCAATCATGTACATCTCCTGTTGCCTATTGCTCACACCATCTGGCTATGATCAATTATTAATTAGTTCACAAGAGGTAGGGCTGCAAAAATGGAAGCAATGGTTGGTCTTATTTACCTTAAAGTACATCATGACTTTCTCATATCACATAGCTATTTTACATGCATCCCATGATGACAATGATGTGATAGGTGCTAATTATGACATTATGCATTGGGCATACAACAAAGCTCAGCTGTCATTAGGGTTTTAAGCAGCTTGTTGCCACTTTTGTAGGAATTCTTTTTGTTATTTTCTTTATATCAAAAAATATAAACATAACCACACTGTTTTAGATCATAAGTTCTATTATATGATGAGGAATAGTCATTTAGGAGCATATGAACAATCAAATAGGTTATTAAAAGAAAACGTGAGCTCCTGCTTTCAAAGAAACACATTGCAATATTAGAAAAGCAACGTAGTTTAAGAACACTTAACTGTGTACTACCTTTGAAAAGAAGCTGGACTGATTAAATTCTCGTCCTTGAGGATTTTCAGGAAATGACTTTTGATAGTCAATAACACAATTGAGTAAACTGCACACACATTAGCATTAATAATTGATGTTAAATTATGTATTATCACAAAGTAGTGATTTAATTATTCATGATGTGACACCCTGGTGACAAAGCAGAGCCAGATAATGTCAAAAGTCTTGCCTGATGAAATGGTGCAGCTTGGCATTTGCTTGTTTGGTGACAATAATATATGCTTTGTTCAAAATATGTGTGAAAATACGGTATTATTTAGATTGAACTTTCAAACAAAGAAGAAAACTCCTTTTTTTTGCTAGAAATAGGAACGATGACAGTAATAGAAAATTTGACTATTATAATACAAATAAGGTTAGAGAAAATTAAGTATGACCAGGCTGCAATATTAATAATTAGCAGGCATGGTATCATCTCCATATAATAAGCAGAATTACTATTACTCATAACATGAAACATGAAACATACAAACAGATGGAAGACTGCACTGAATCTGCAACAATATACTGAAAATAACTGTACATGTTCTTCATACTAAACAAACTAAAGTTAAAATTATTTGTGCTGTTATTAATGCCAGATTTGATACATTTTGTATGAACTTTACAGGTAGCCTACATCTAAAATAGTTTATAGATAAGAATTACATATAAAATATTAAATAAAGATTAAAGATGTCTAATCTTTATTATTAAATAAAGATTAAACATCATAAACATACATATTAAATCAGAAGCCCTCTCTAAATATTTAGTTATCCACAGTGACGAACAAAGCAGAACTAGTAAAGATCACGTCACATCCAGTAAAGTCCTACGTTATGGGAGCACACATATTTTGCTTTTTTTAAATTAGTGTATTTTTATCACTCGTCTGTCATCAAAAAAAGAGCTGCTATCAAAACAGGTAAAACGCAGTGCTTCTGAATTCTGTCTTCACAGCGTCCTCTAGATTGACAGATTGATCACTTCCATCAAACAACATGCCGTGAGGGCGAGTGGCTGACAAAATTTTAACCAATATGAATGGATAAGTATTAATTTATACATGTAGCCTTAGTATTTTACGTAAAAAGGATAATTAACATGTTGATTTATTCATATGTATACTAAAGTAGACCTAAGTCTAAATGTTTCAAAATATCATGTCAAATGTTCGCTGTTTTACAGATCCCCAAAATGTACTTGATGAGTTTTTTTTTCTGTGCTGATATATTTTGTATTGAATTGTTGAGGGGCTTGTCCCCATTTTAATCGCCAGTAGCCTTTTGTTTACATCACAGCCATGAGCATAGCTACTCGCCGGTGCTAGTCAGAAAGAAGTATGTGGTATTAAGGGACGGGACATGGTCATTCTGGAGAGCTTTTGATTGGACAAAATGAGTGTGTTCAGGATGAGTCACTTAATATTTTTACTTCATTTTCCCGGGAGAGTCATTCTAAATGACATGACTTTTTTTTCACTGAGCAATTAATTCAGTTAATTAATTCTTTTTAATACATTTTGACATTTGTAGTTTGACAGGAGTGTGTTCATGTAATCCTCTCAATCGAAGTGCAAATGATGTTGTATCAGAATGATTAATCATCAAATTATCATTTTTATTAGTTAAATAGTCAAGTTAGACATTGAGTTTAATCTCCATCATGGACAGCAAGTGAAATAAGTTTATCTTGCAATGTGTCAAAACCAGGCAAGACACTGGTCACAACAATCAGAGTTTTCTTACATCTAAACCTAAAACATGTTTGCTCCATATGTGAGCTGTCGTCCTCAGTATGTTTCTCTATAGAAGCAATATTGTAAGTGCACATTGCATCGGCTGATAAAGATGTCTACACTTTGAGAAAACCCAACTCAGGGGAAAAATCAATTTAGACACTGTTGCTGTTGTTAATCATTTTTTCTTTTCCAAAATGAATTCCCGCACAGCAAGCAAACAGAGAAACAAATGGCCTGTGATGGTTTTAAGTAATTTAGAGTTATTGTAGTAGTATTTTTAGAAGATTGTTCATAACATTCATTGCACGTGGATTATTGATTATTCAGTGCAGTAATTCATTCTATTATGAGAAGCATTGTTACATCAAATTAACTGGAGAGAGGCCAAGCAAGCCTAAAAAAAAACCCTAAACTAAACTAAATAATGACACAAATCATGTGTTTCAGATTCTGCTTGAATGAAGATAATGAGTTCTTTTGTTGCATTAATGATACATTGTCAGTGAAGTCATATCCAAACTCTGGTGCTCCAGTTGTTTGAGATATGGGCCTCCTGCATAGGTCAAGATATGGTCAACATTTGTGCAGTTATCATAGTAGCTTGCACTTACATAAACAAAGATCAATAACTCACTACATTTATTTTGACTGGGAAAGATAAGACAGAATGGATCTGATTATGCTTAAATGTTTTCTTACACAGTGCTGAATATTTATGATGCCCACTTGAATTACTGCAGTTTCACAGAACGAAAGAAAATAGTACTTTTAAAATAATTATCAGCCAGATTTTTAAAATAAAAAAGAAATAGATATTACATATATAGAGATATCAGTAACATGTAATTTATTGATTTACTAGAGAATATAGTTTGTACATACAAAGTGCAATGCACCCTTTGTCCACTAGAGTGGTCTATTGTGCAGATACTGAATTCACTCAAACCCACAAATACAGTATATCACAGCACTGTTAAAGAAAGCAATGAAGCTCATTCTCAAGTTTACATCTGATATTACCTGCACTTTTTTTTTTTTACCTTTTTTAATGTTTTTTAATGCATTAGCTGTTTAAAGGGATCTGTGTGAGAAAACAACATCCAACCAACAAATTGTGATTTAACATCTTTCTTTAATGATGATGTAATGCGTTTCTGAAAGACTGTAAAAGTAGTACATTGCAAGTGGTTGTTTATAAGGCAATCATTTTATAGTCATACATCAGCAACCATGGCAAGGTAAAGACAGACCACCCCTTTTTAATATGTACCCTGCCAAAGCACATCAAGAGAAAAGTTGTTTTAAAGGGGTCATATGATGCGATTTCAATTTTACCTTTCTCTTTGGAGTGTTACAAGCTCTTGGTGCATAAAGAAGATCTGGAAAGTTGCAAAGCATGTTCTTTTTAGCAGCATCATATGACCCCTTTAATATGGCAAGTACCCTTAAACTGAGTTTTAAACCTGACAAACTTAGTGTACAATTTTCATGCATACTGTGGGCCATTTGAAAAACTTGGAAAAGCTTGAATTTTATTCTGGCTGGGTCTTAAGGAAAACGCCTTATCATTACCACTAAAAAGTCACTTTAGAAATATACTTCCCCTGAATCTAGTGTGCTCTGTGGGCATGGTCTTTATTGTTTTATAAACAAGTACACTGCAAAATTATTTTCAACACAACATAATTAATTGGAATGCTTCACAGTTCTTCCCTTTTTTGACAATAAAGAGCCCCTGCCTACCACAATTACGGTCACCTCAGCTACAAAACACAATGAGGTTTAACAGCAATCCTTAAACACAAATCAAAAACAGTTTTAAGAACTCTTTTAACTTATTTAAAAGTCACATTTAAATAGCTTAGATATAGAGTCATTTAGCTTCAGATTTGTTTACAAACAGTATTTACCTATCTAAACAACCAACTTTACTCGTCATGTGCTCTCCATCGCAAAGTCCTCTAATTCACTCATAGTTATAATATCTGTGTGTCTTTCAGTGTTGTCGATACTGTTTTCTGCATACAAAGATGGATTGTGAATTTGCTCATGTGACCCATACAGCATATCAGGGTATTGCTGGGAATCTCTGTTAATATTCTGCAGATGAACATTCTGTCTCCACGGTTCACCACCTCTCTCAAGCGTATCCTGGTTGTCTGCTGGTGTTGACAATT